GACATGATGTGCAATCAAATAGCTTACATCAGAAATATTATCATCGAGAAAAATACTATCTGTTTTTTTTTACACTAATATACAAAACGATAACTTTAGAATACTCTGTTGAACAAGAAATATTAACAATTGCAGTTAAATTTTTTCCAAATTTTCATTTGACAATATTTTAGGCATAGGAGCAGATATGATTTTAATTCCAACTGCATATTGGTGTATGGGTGCCTTCCAAAACAGGTATGCAAGCAGTTTTGGTTGGCATTTTAGTCATAGTTCAAGACCACTGTGCCTGCGTTGGAAATAGACATGCATTTTTTTGGGTGACATCTGCAAACTAAATGGCGGAGTTTAGCTGTCAAAAAACTGTCAAAAATATATAAAACAGCAATTCCCCTTTCAAAATTTTCCAGGAAAATTCTTCTTACGGGGAGTTCATAGTTGAAGGATTTCTTTCTCGGGAGAAACGAAGTTCTCGGAAAACAAACTCCTCGGGATTATTTAGAATTAGCCGGAATAAAATTAATTTAGCCCGGGTTTAATTTATAAGGACATATGATTCAAGTTGTAGACTTTAAACCCACTCGAGATCTCAAAGATCACTCCACGCGATTTTTATGAATATTTAATAGTCCGCAATAGATGAGTCTAAAATGGAGGGGCACGAATTTGCACTAAATCTAAATTGGTAAAATGTACAACTAGATACACATTATAACTAAGATGATAAGTGAAAGGATTTTGGGTATACATACATTTCATACCTGGGGTAGTCAGAGTGGATACCCACTAACGCCTCGGCTGCTTCTTCGTTGCATCCGGATGAGTTTTGTTCCCGATTCGCAATAGAAGGTGTTTTCATCGAGCCAGGAATTGAGAGAGTGGATGCTGGTTTGCGGAGCTGATATATTCATCGTCCATAAAATGTGTGTACATGCAATGAAATATAGAATATTTTGGTTTCCTTATTATAAGTTGCCTTATCGAATTAAAAATGTTCACAAAAAAAAGTTTATGAGTAAAAATCAATAACTAAGTATTTACTTAAGTGCATTACATAATTTATTTGGCATGAACAGTGTTGCCACATGTTTTTTCCCGAAAATCCCTGCCATCACCTAAAAAATCTCGACCTTTCCCTATGCCAAAAAAAAATCCTACAAAATTCCCTACAGTACTTTTGTCCCAGCAGCGTTACCAAATTTTTAAAATTAAAGCACATTCACATGAGGCGGTTTTATAAACATTTCAACATCGCTTTCAACAAGATTTTTAAGAAAACTCACTTATACATTATTAAGGCACGCGCGCCGCTCCGCGTCCCGTTACTTGTTTATATACTTCATTATTTAAATGCTCTATATGAATGTACAATGAGGATTTGGGGTTGTTTGTGTACCCACGCCGCAGAAATACTGTGGTGATGTGGATGACGCACGGGTTGTTTTCACTGAGAAGGCGACTGAAAATGTTCGCAAACAACAAAAATGAGTAAAGAGCAGAATAACAAATCACCCGTGGTCGAGTGGCTTGTGTGACATCAAGGCACACCCAGCCAATCGGAGGAGAAGCTCGGCCAATCATTTTAAACTTTGCACAGATTGCTTTGCAGAGCACAGCAGGCGTACTAATCTAAATGGTAATACAAGCATTTTGTGTCCAATTTACCGTCAAATTATTCGACAACCGAAGAACGTATTTATTTAACTTTTTACTTTAACTTGTTACTTTTTCATGTTCCTTTTTTTTTGTTGAAACTTTGAATTATTTAATTTTCAGACACATGTACATTAGACTGCATCACTCCCCATACAAAAAAAAATCGGTACTATTTTTCCATTGGAATTATAAAATCTATTATATTTTAAGAAGTCCACCAAAATATTTGGAAAAAATATTAAGATTTAAGTGAGCTGGACCAATTTCAAAATACCTCCAAAAATGGAGTTTTTTATGAATAAAAATAGTTTCTTAAATTTTTTTTTGAAAAAATCCCCTCAAATGACAAAACCGTTTAAGCTTAAAAAATTTGCATAAAAATATTAAAAAAAAATTTGAACGGAAGCGTAATGATGAGATTTTTGATACTTTTTTCAAAGATTGGTATAAGAAAAACTTGAATAACTGAGCCTAAACTCTTCTGATTTAGACTTAAGAGGTGTCGGTGGAAAGGTATTTTCTCACCCTTTTTATTTCTTTGCTAATAAACTCATTCAAAGGATGAAAGAGAAAGGTAGGATGAACGAACGTCATTCAAAGTTGAATTAAGATGTGTTGGTATTTGAAAAAAAAAAAAAATTGCGACACGAATGATATTTTTTTGGACAGAAATAAAAACAGTGTGAAAATACCTTTCTACCGAGATCCCACAAGTCTAAATCAGAATAGTTTTGGCCCAGTTATTCGTAAATCAATCTTTGAAAAATGTAAAAAAAAAACAGCATCAAAAATCTCATTCTTACGATTCCGTTGAAAAGATTTTAAAATATTTTTATGCGGATTTTTTAAGCTTAATCTGTTCTGTCATCTGAGGGGACTTATTTTAAAAAGTTCTTTACAAAACTATTTTTATTCATAAAACACTCCATTTTTGGAGGTATTTTCAAGTCGGTCCAGCTCACTTAAATCTTAATATTTTTCCCAAATATTTTGGTGAACGTCTTAAAATATAACACATTTTGTAATCCCGCCGGAAAAACCGCAACTTTTTTTGGTGATGCAGTCTAATGTACATACATACATTCATACATATGTATTAAATATATCGTCGTTTAAAGTACAAAACCGCGTATCGTCATTCTGCAAA